AAGTTGATCCCACAAAAAATTTCAAAAGAGTAGATTGATCTTATCAAATCCCTGTAAGTATTTAAGAAGGTAACAATTATGAAATTTCCCTAGTAATTCATGATGGCATATATTTATATAAACTCTTTTATTATAGTATCCTTGTTATATGCCTTTAAAGGACATTGTTGTAGTTAACTTGTTGAACAAAATGGCTCTTGTAGCAATGTTGTAATTTTAAGTGGAGGGTCTTGTAGTTGTTAGAGGCTATTCTTTCTGTTTGTATTTGTTCTATTCCTATTTCTTAATGTAATGGTCGTTTTTTTGTTGGCGCAAAATAAATAAATAAATAAAAATAATTTTTTTTAAAAAAAGTGACATTAGAAATTAAGATTTACCATCAATATGCAAGCAATTAATCAATTGTGACCATACATTCCAATCCATATAGGGCACCAAGTCAACTCAATCAGGGTAGATTTTAACTTCGAAAGCATTGGTATATGCCATTGACCAGTCAGCCTCTCTTTCTAAAATTCAATAAATTTTCTTCAAACCAATGTCATCCACACAAATTTAGTACTCATATTTTTTGTTTCTTCCCCAGTGTAATAGACTTTGTAAAAATATATATATATAATTTCTTTCGAATGTAAATTAAATCTTTTATACGATACGATCACATGTTAATTAAATATTTTAATTTCGGTTGCGGAGGACGTACAAAAGGGAATATATTTACAAAAGGAATATACTTTAATCTTAATTGACATGGTAGCTGGAACATCCCAATTTTATTTTTTATTTATTTAATAATTATTATTATTAGTAGAATTATTTTGACCGGATTCAAAATTAAAGAGCATGATGTGAGAGTGACACTTGTATTCATGAAGAATCGAAGATAGGCAATAGAAATAGTCATATTTTATATATGTTAGTTTCTTTACATGAATATATCATGAATTTTACAACCTCAAATTTGGATCATAAAATCTTACTTGATTAAAAGAACTCAATCTTAATTCTGCTTTCAACTTTAATATATATATATATATATATATATATATATTAAAGTTGAAAGCAGAATTTCTGCTTTTCCACCTTATAACAATATTAAAAAGGGTTAATTCCACTTATACCCTCTAAACTTTACCAATATTTCACACACAGCCCCTATATGTTTCATAATTTCACCTACACCCCTTGTCAGTGACGTTTAGTTTACTAACAGAAATGTGTGATTTTACTGTTTTACCCATGAATTATATATTAAAGTTTAAAACTTAAAAGGAAAAGACTATAACACTCTCTATTTCTCTCTCTCTACTCACAAACGCATATATACACACACTATATATATCTTCTTCTTATCTTATGCAAAGCTGTGAATGGTGTCCATTCTTGTCCTGTATCCGTCTTGCCTCTTGTTTATGACATTCGGCATCTTCTGCAAGCTCTTACTGTTGCTCTGGTTGCGCATGTTCGTCGTGCTGCAAATTCTCTAGCGCATCAGATTGCTATGCTCTGTAAATCTCAGCATTGCTCTTGTCAGGTGTTTTATAGGCTGCCTTGGTAGTTGTTGTTGTTTTTATCTTTAGCTCTGTGCTTCCTACTTCTTCTGTGTTTCTTGTGGTTTGTCTTGTTTGCCTTGTAAATATATATATATATATATATATATATATATATATATATATATCTCTTCTTCTTCTTTTTTTCTTTATTATTGCTGGCGACGAAGAAACTATGCCACTAATAGCAACTACAGAAAAAGATAGTTCTTATCATAGCCAAGTCGTTCTCCTTACTGCCCGCCGTTCAATTGCAAGGACAGTTTTCTGGTTCTTATCACAGCTGCTGTCCTCCGTTGCGAGCTTCGCCGGATTGAACTGAACTTCACTGGAGTAGGGATCGCTAGACTGAACTGGGTGAAGCGATATCAGGCGAGTTACAAAACCGATCTCGCCATTTCTCCACCTCAACCTACCACCACCACGACTGACCACCCACCACCAACCACCACCTACATATACGAAGACATATTTACACACATATATATATATATACGGACAGACACATAGACACACATATACATTACACACAGGTTTGACTTCGGCGAGCTTTAGTCCAGTTCAGCGAGCAATAGATGTGAGCCTCAGTTCAAGCGTGCTTTGGTTAAGGTGGCAAAATAGCTTAGGTGAGACCACCAATGTGTAGTGAACAAACCGCAAAACTTCGCCGGACTGAATTGAGCTTCACCGGACTTGGGATCGCCTGACTGAACTGGGTCGAGGTAGCTGTGAACTTCGCCGCCGTCGTTTTTGATTCATCTTATCTCGGTCTTGTCCAGCGTTACGACAATAAATTTGACGGCGACTACACAACCGTAGATTTGACGGCGTTGAAGTCCAGCATTTGGACTGAACTAAGGTTCCTCATTTTTCTGTCCGGCTAGCAGCGATTCAGTCATACCAAACCTAGTTTTGCGATTCAGTCGACCTCAAAGCTAGAACGAACTAAGTTCGACCAAACCCAGTTCAGTCCGGCGAGTAACGATTCCTCAACCCATTTTAGTGAAACCCAATTCAAAACGGCCATAGACAAGCGAGAGCTCTGTAGAAGAATCTGGCCTAGCTTGCAAGCTTCACCGGCCTTGTCACAGTCCACTTCATGCCGGTCATTTCATTCCACCAAACAGTCTCATCAGCGTCCTTCATTGAAGCATGCCCGCCGTCCTCTTCACCGCCGTTTAATCACTTCATCGCCTGTCAGTTCAGTCTCGCCGTTTCTCGCCAGTAAAAACAGCTTCGTCGTCGATCCTTGTTATTAAATTCCATGGCTGCAATTCTCGTTTTGCATTGCCTAGTCATCCTAGCACATTGTTCATACTTGTTTGGTTACCATTTGTTGGTGCATGGATTAATACTGTGGGCTCAATTCCGACGACTTACAAAGTTGAAACGATCGGTGAATGGGGGGTGTTCTAGGTTCGATGATATGAAAGCACATTTATCCTTTTTAGTTTATAAGTTAAGGGTAATTTTGTAAATTTGCATTGGCCAATGAGATTAAAAATGTCATTTCAAGTATTGGAAGGGCAAAATTGACCATATACCGATTTGTTCATGTTGACACCGTCAATTGCCTAATAGCAGGAGGTAATTTGCTACATAAACCAAAACCTCAAGGGAGGTAGGTGGAATTATGAAACGTAGAAGGGGTGTGTATGTGTGGAATATTAACAAACGTTAGGGGGTGTAGGTGGAATTAACCCTATTAAAAAATATAGAAAACTTTAATTCTTTTTTATAATATATAGCAATTTATTTTTTTAAGAAAAACATTTGTTTCCTTTGAAATGTTTCCCACAAATGAAAACATTCTAGAATAAATATCAATCAAGTCTACTTATTAATAATCAACATTTGTATTTTTAATGATGTATAGTGTAGATATGTGCTTTAATTAGTCTTTCTCATTTTAGAATTCCAAACTAAATAAGAGTTAACAATTATAATTTAATAATATTTTATTAGATTTTTTATTAAAAAAAAATAAAAAAGTTAAAAAATAGAAAAACTTCAATTATTTCTTATAATATAGCAATTTTTATTTATTTATTTAAAAAAAAAAAAGATATATGTCCTTTGAAGTGTTTTCTAAAAAAGAAAACATTCAAAAATAAATACCAATCAAGTCCACTTATTAATAACTTACATTTGTGATTTAAATGAGATATAGTATAAATATGTACTTTAATTAGAATAATATTGATAAAATTAAAAAATATATATATTAAAATATTAAGAGAGGGATTCACAGTTGTAGAATAATATAGATATATTTGAAACTCTGAGTGAGAGTGAGGTGTCGTTAGTGTTCAGGCGTGTAATATGATTCTCTCTATATAGAATTATATATGAATCATGCATACAAGTGGGGATAAGGGAGGACTAACAGACCCAGAAGAGACACCGCTGTGGGTCTCACAGCTTGGTTGGTCAAACCAAGTCCACAACTTTAGGGTTTTCCATACATTAAAAACTATATTCCATTTTTTTTTTTTTTTCGTTTTTGTTTTTGACCAACCCAGCAGAGTTGCCACTTTTTTCTTCTCTGATACTCAATTATCTTGTTGCTGAAATAGATGGGGATTGTTGTGTGGTCATGCATCATTGAATTTCAATCTGATTGATGATTTGGCTGCAATTATTATTAGGAGCTGTAATAGGGTTATCCTTCAGCTTAGCAAATTGGCTACATTCAGAAAGTCTCTGATTTTTAATGTTCTATGTGACCTTCATGATTATCACTGAATAAAAAATAATAATAATAAAGAAAGTCAATTTATGATCATTAAAAAATGATTATTGATGAGCCTTCTATTTTTTATTTTATTTTATTTAACTGAGGATAGTTGGAACATTTCCACTCAGAGCTTTCACATACATTGCATTCAATAAAAATAACTGGAAGAAAGCGTCCACATATATTGTACTCAATAACAATAAACACAACACACACACACACACATATAATAGTAAACATGTCTATATGATATATATGGGCCACACACACACATATAATAGTAAACATGTCTATATGATATATATGGGCCCATAATTAATATCCATGCAAGTGGATATGCAAATTGGCCAACAACTTGTGGACAAAAATAGTCTCAACACCAACATGCTGTTCGTATCCTTCACTTCCAAATTTTGCAACACCCTTCCTTCCACTTCCACTTCCACTTTTTCTTCCACTTCCACAATCTAGACGAACAATTGGGAGGGAAAATGAGACGGGCAATTAAGATATTTTGATAATATTCAAAAAATGCGTTAAATATATATATATACACTATATATATAATGGAGACCTGCTCCAGCCGGTAGGATTGTGTGGCCCAAAATGGGCCACGTCAATGAAAAAAAAACCTATTTGAAAGAGTAAGAAAGTTTAACCACGGTGTGTATATAGTGTGTATATCTATATATTTAATGTATTTTCTGAATATTACCAAAATATATATATATATATAGTGTATGTATATATTTAATGCATTTTTTGAATATTACCAAAATATCCTAACTGCCCTTCTCATTTTTCCTACCAATTGTTTGTCTAGGTCGTGGAAGTGGAAGGCAAAGTGGAAGGAAGGGTGCTGAAAAATCTGGAAGGGAAGGGAACCTACTCGAATTGCATGTTGGTGTTCATTTGTTTGTTTGGGTGTTTATGGTAAAAAAATTTCTTTTTGCTGCAATAGAATTCGCCACCCGTAATTGATTTGCAAAGGAAGTTGCTGTTCGTTTGGGTCTTCTGTTCGGATTCGGATTTGGATCGTCAGAAATTAATGTGTTGTTTCTGTTCTTCGGTGGTACGATTTTCCTTGTTGCACTTTATTTGCAGTTAATTTTGTGTTCGTTTTATTTGTTTATAGTTCAAATTTTGTTGACAATTGGTCCAAAGGTTGTTGGTGCATAATAAAGCTTGGTTTGCTGCGGTATGTCATAGGTTTAGAAATGGGTCAGAAGATGATAGCTTGAAAGAAACAAGGAAAGGGAAAAAAAATGGTGGACAATATCGTTCATCCGCCTCCTTCTCCTACTCTCCAATCTATGATGCCAAGCATCCCTAATCCATCTTCTTCTACTTGTCCTACCCCTACCCCTAAATCATTTACTCGTACCCCTAAATCATCTGACCTAGCTGATGAGGATTATGATGTTGAGGCAGATGAAGGTGATTATGATCCCCAGCCAAGTAGTAACACATTAGTGAATATTAATTCTAAAGTTCTGCATCGTGCAGGAGGAGTGTACCTTTTGTTTAAGTAAGTTTACATTCATATTAATATTCATGTTCACGTACAATAGCATTTATATGAATTATGGTTCCCTGTTGACCAAATATATTTTTCCTGTTCTAATATTTACATTGACATGAAATTGATTGTTTAGGATTTGGAATTATTTATAATGGTACAACAAAATTTCTGCATTCATTTGAAATGAAAAATTCTTTTATTGATGTGGTATTTTGATAATTATGAAAGTTTAGGAAATTATTGGGATAGTCTGTTTATCTTACAATTAATAAGTGTATAAGTAAGTTGTGAAATAAGTTGTGAAACATATATATTGAAATCCTGATGTTGAGTTGGTGATATTGCATATGATATCGTGTGTATCAGGCCTGGTTTCATGAAGAAGTACTAAGAAGTGCAGGGTCTAGTAGGGCCAATCAAGGGTGGTGTAAGAAGAATAATAGAGAAGAAATCCAGGGATGTATGGAGTGCAATGACCATGGAGGAGAAGGCTCCCTTTTATAAGGGAAAAAGATTGCGTGATATGGAATTCAGAAAGTGTGGTGGCTTAGAAGTGAATAAAATGAAGAAGAAGGTAATTTGTTAAATTGATTAAATTATTGATTGAATTTGTTATTGTTTTGATAACATAATATGCAATAGAAAATAAATTAATGTATCCTTCCTTACTGGTAGTTATATAAACTTGCTAATGTGACATTATATTTATGGTTTTTAAGGTTGAATACAACATTAAACCTAGGTGGAACAAATGCTCACAGTATTTAAACTTGGAGAGGAAAAGAGGAATGATGTTGCAGATATAGGTTTCAGCAATTTACTAAACCTACAATGTGAGCATTTGTTTACCCCATTGTTTGACTACATCATTGGACATTTGGAGTTAGACAAATGTCGCATTAAACTTGATGATAATCAATATCTCCCAATTAATACAATTAATGTCCACAACATCCTCGGCTTACCTGCTAGAATGACGACAGTGCCTACATGTCCGCAATTTGATGCCAATTGAATATGTAAAGGTGGATATCGCAATTGGTTGCATGTAAATTCTTTGATGGAAAGGGTAGAAGAATTCGAGCCCAGCGAAGATTTCAAAAGAGCGTTTGTGCTTTTTGCATGTGCCGTTTTTCTAACAGCTAATAGACGTTATAATGCACATGTACAAGAATTAAAGGTTGTTGATAATGTGAATCAAATAAAGTCTTACAACTGGTGCACGTATGTGCTTGAAACTTTAATGGATCACTTGGGTGGAGTTGAAGGTGGGAAAAAAGTATGAGTATACTGGGTGCATGTTTTTCCTGCAGGTAAATAACATTACCTACTTATCTTTTACAAAATACTTTATTATTATCTCATAAGTATGAATCATGACTGATTAAACACGGTGTAATTTAATTCAGCTTCTATATGTCATTAGATGTAAAGTTAAATTTGAAAATTTTCTCAAAAATTGAAGGTGAAGATTGTGTGGATCAAAAAAGAGGAGTTAGTCAATTATGTACCAATTGATTCTATGGAACTAGTTTCCAAAAGGTCATTAGGTGCAAAACCTTCAAACTAAATCCTACGATGGTTGATTAATCATGTAATGTGTTCATTAAAAAAAAAAAAAAAATTCCATTCGATCACTTTTTGAGAATCTAGGGTTTGGTTTTGGCTATGGAAAAATTGATTTTTTTTTTTTTTTTTCTTGTTGATATATGTGAAAGATTATTTCAGTTGAATTTATGATCTGTTTGTGAATGCAAATTAGGACACATGATGATTTGATAAAAATAGATTCTTGGTTTGTAATCTATACAATGAGAAACAATTTGCATTAAGTGAATTTTATATTTGAATCTCTCGAGTTTATATCTTTTTGTACACTAGTCCATCTCTGAGAAAATTAATTGAAAATCATTGAAATGTTGACTAGTTTATATTGCTTATAAAAGCTATAAAGGCAAAGGCTATTGTTAAAAAAAAATATGAGCATGAAAATTGTGACGGCCCAAGTTTTTCAACCCGGTACGTCAGTGATGACCCAATAGTTAACCTGATAACGGATTCGAAATGCGGAAGCAAAAGATGAAACCATAGTCCTTTGAGATATAAATCATCTCTAAGACACTAACGTGACATTCCATGAAGTTACGGAACTCAAGAAAAGCGAATGAGTAAACTAAGGTCAAAACGGGCTAAATCCGTTAATTAAGGGTAAAATGGTCAATTCACAATTAAAAGGAGAAAATTGACTCTAAACAAGTCAAACAAGGTGAATACAACCTAATCTAATCATTTCACAACATTCCAAGAGGTTCCAAGAACATTGACCAAGAATCACACACAACTCCCTTTCTCGGTTTAAGCAAAAACTGACCCTACCTTACTAAAATATGAATAAATCCCACTGTAATTGGAATCTGAGAATGGCATAGGTGCCATTGGAAAGTTGACTCAAAATCCTTGAGTTTAGGCTCAAGAATCACCCCATTTGGATTAGAAACGAAGACGTTATGTGGAACCTCAGTGCTGAAACATAACCTGGAGGCTGTGTTCAAACGACCGAAATAGAGTTTCAGATGACCGAACTGGGCATAATTTTGCTGAAAACATGATTTTTGAGAGGAGGAAGTTTCGGTAGACCAAAATAGACCATCGGTCGACCGAAACGGTCCAGAATAGTGAAAAAGGCTACTGGAAATGAGTTTTTACTGTGCACTGACTTTTCCAAAAGCCATCAGTCGACCGAAATGGAGTTTTGGACGACTGAAACACCTTGAAAAGTTGCTGTAAGACTTGTTATATGCCAAATGTGTTAAGGTTTAACCCATGCTTTAAATCTCCTTATGAATTGGTTCAAAAATGAAAGTTTAAAACTGATTTTCAATGAGATTTAAGTATGTGAGCATACCAACAGCCTTTAAATGAATAATTGAATGTAAGATGATGAGCGCTGAAAAGTGTGCATTTAAACCCCTTAAGCTTGAGTATTCTAGAACCTTTATCTATCTTATTTTATTGCCTTAGACTAATTTTGTATTATTTCCATTTTCAAGCGCTTATCCCCAAAATAAGTTAAATCAGCCAAATAAGAGCATAATTGAAGCAATCTTGAGATGAATCAAAAAAAGGAGCAAAGTGGAAGCAAAATGAAGCAAAGTGTAGAAAATTAACAAGTTCAATCGATATCAAGAATACTTCGATCGATCTGGAGTTCATCGATCTCAACACTTCAAGATGGATTCAAGCTTTTTTGTCCTTATCCAAAGATTCCACAAAGTTTGATCGATCCAACATTTCTTTGATCGATTGAAAGTATTTGATCTTATCCACACCTACCACCCACCTACCACTTTTGTCTTCTTCCCGAAAATATCCCAAAATATCTCAGAGATTTGTCTTTGTTCAAAAAGGCGCCGCCAAGGATGATCGATCTCTATAGTGTTCGATGGATCTCAGCCAAGTTCGATCGATCTCACCACAGTTTGATCGATCGAACTCCCTCAAGTGTGAATTAAAGTGATTTCCAGCTCATCAAAAGTTGTCTCATAGTCTAATCATTGGAGGAGACTTGGTGCACGAGCCCAGACCATTGGGTGTGACATTTGAGCCACCTATATAAGGATTTAAGCTACTTTTTACAAAGAGGATAATATACAATTTTTAGATCTTAGAGATATTTCTTAGAGAGGAAGAAAAGAAGATAGGAGGCTAGAGACACATTCTTGGGAGTTTTTCTATCCACATTAAGAAGATGAGCATTTCTACCATGGAGATAGCCCTTGAGGGTTGGAGAGGCACATCCATGAATGGCTAGACATTTTCTTGGGGCTAGAGTTAGCCCTAAGCATGCCTTCTACATCTTGATTTATGTATTTTTGAGGGAATTTGTGTTGTAATATATGTTTTGAAACTTGTTTATACATGGATCTTGTTTATTCAATGATTTATGTGGTTTAATTCTTCCAAATGACCATTTCATTCTATTCATATGTCTATGTATGTTAGAATAGATGTTCATGTGTTTATCTCTAGCTTTGTGTTATTGATGCATGTCTATGTGTATTGATGCTATAGATCTTGAGATTGTCAAGGCATAGTGCTTAATAGAATGCTCTTGTGGTTTATTTAACGGTTCATACTCATTTCTTGATGGATTGTGCCTCTCCCTTAGTTTAATTAGTTTAATTTCATGCTATTAGCTTAGTTGTAGTGTAGTTGCCTTAGTTGTTAGATGGGAGAACAATCCATGCTTGTTATTTGATGTTCCATACTTTTGAATGCAGGTAGCATATGTCTCTAACCTTGTGATGTGTTTGAATTGTGAGCTTAAAGGAAGGATTAATGGCTTAGTTTGATATATTGTGTTTTTCACTATGTTGCTTAGACAATGTATGCCTAATTGGTTATCCATGCTTATTGAAACAACCACTCACTCACCAATATTGCAATACATGTTTACCCCTCATTAATTGTTCATTAAGTGTGTAGAAAGGTTATGCTTAGTGGTGTTCTCTAAATCCCAAGATCTCTCTCTCTTGTTCTTTCTACCCTTTAATTACTTGTTTTACATTAAGCTTGATTAGTTTAATTTGTAGTTTAATTAATCAAACCTACTACCTTTTGATCATTCGACCTACTAACCCTAATATTGTTTCCACACCTCAATACGACACCAATCCCTTGGGACGATCCCTACTCACCCTAGCTATATTTTTAGTTAGAGGTAGTAGTGGCATTTATAAATTTAAAACTTGGCTACATTGCACGCTCTCATTCTTAGTGCCTATTTTTAAGCGTTGGTACGGCGACACTCCAAGTTTTTGGCGCCGTTGCCGGGGATTGATTGAAAGCAACGTCGTATTGTGGAAACAATTAGGAATTAGTACTCTTTTGATCGTGTCTTTACTTTATTTTTATTTTGATTTTGGTTACTTATTGTGTTGGTTCTTGTTTGACTAGGTACATTGGGCTAAGGAAGTGAGCAAGGGAGCACTCTAAGTAAGGAGCTAAGCAAAGAAAGCATAAAAGGCTAAAATCTAAAAATTTGCAAAGCTTAAGTTGAAAAATAATTTGAAGTGCTTAAGGACCCTTTGTGAGCTCTTCCTAAACTCAATCTTTAGTTAAATCGTCGGCCCGCGTGGAGGCTTGTTTTTCAATCATGGATAAATCATGAGCCCGCGTGGAGGCAATTTTATTTTCTTTGCATATTGTTCAAGCATGGGAGTATGGGATCATTGTATGTGGAGATTTATTGATTGATTTGTTGTCGAGGAGAAGTGTTTGATATTTACTTACTTTTTGTTATTTGCTAGTGCATGCATGGTCATAGGTTATTGAATCTTACTCTTGTCCCACTTAATTTGCATCTTGAATCCGTTATTCGTAATCCTAGGGGAAGAGGTAGTTTTAGTCATTCCATTTCACCAATGGAGGACTTGAATAACGACCATGTGGAGGACCCTGGTCACGTAGACCAACAAGGTATCCTCCACCCTAATGTGCATCATGATAACATCCAAGTTCCATTAGGCATGCTAAAGCCATTCATTCACCCACCACACCAACAAGGTCAAGTTCCATTAGGAATTCCTAGGCCAATGTTTGCTCCACAAACTCCCATAGTCCAAGGCAATCAAGGCGCTTATGTAGCACCACCGGTTATAAATCCACCTCTTTCTTTAAGAGATCATTATGTGCCAAATGAATATAAAGCACCCACTTACATTCAATTGCCACTATTTAGAGCACATCACTATGAGATTAAACCGCAAACCATTCAAATGCTTCCTAACTATCATAGACTTCCAAGTGAAGAACCTTACAAGCATTTGGATGAGTTTCTTGAAGTATGTTCCACCGTGTGATACACGGACATGCCGGAAGAGGTTTTAAGACTTAAACTTTTTCCATTCACCCTTAAAGACAAAGCAAAATATTGTTTCAACAATCTTAGGCCTTTTTTGATAACTTCTTGGGCAGAAATGCAACAAGAGTTCTTGAAGAAGTATTATCCGGTTTCTAAGACCAATGCCATGAGAACCTCAATTCGAGAGTTTTCACAAAGGGGTGGGGAAATGTTTCATGAGGCATGGGAAAGATTTAATGAATTGCTTAGGAAGTGTCCACATCATGACATGCCTAAGTGGCAATTGGTTCAATACTTCTTTGAAAGTTTGCCCGAAAATCAAAAGAGTATGGTTGATGCATCAATGGTGGTTCTATTCTTGACAAAAATGAAAATGATGTCTGGCGTCTCTATGAAAGCATGAGTGAAAATTTAATGCATAGATCATTATCTTCCAAGAATGGTAAAAATTTAAGTGGAAGGAAGAATGTTGACTTATATCAAGTCGACAATTCAAATGAAATAGTTGCCAAGATGAAATCCTTATCTTAAAGATTTGATCAATTCTTAATCAACCAAAACTCGACAAATAAAATGTCTTCCTCCCTTAACCATTCTCATCATTCATCCAATGAGACATGTATGACTTGTTCTAGTGTTTTGCATTCTACTTCCAATTGTCTCCATGGACATGTGTAAAATGAACATCATGAACAAGTCAATGCAGCATTTGTTAATCAAGGGAACAATCCTTATGGCAACAATTACAATTCTAG